GGAGGAGAGAAGAAATGGTATTCCGAGGATCCGTCTCACAAACTTGTGAAGATCGTCCGGGCAAGAACAGAAAAAGGAGCTGAGATATTTCTGAACGCACCGATATGTGATAATATCGGGTTTCGAACTGCGGACCGTTTGGCAAAGGTAATTGGTCCGAAGGATATTTTGTTGCTAGTGTTGGCATCGCGTGGTACTCTTGCTTCCACATATCTGGAAAAATTGGGTTTGTGCGCCTTCATGTATGAGGAGTTTATCAGTGCATTAGTAAAGGAACTCAAGGAGCTGCCGCCACCATCGCCTTCCAAACCACGGTCCTCAGTGCTGAAGTTAAACCATCAAGGGCACCCCACTCGCACCGTTGGATTAGGGGAACTGGAAAACGGTGTCACGAGGATTCCGATGGAGTATCGGGTTATGTACAAACCGGAGGCTCAAAACTTTCCGCTGGTGGACGGCTTTTTCTTTGTTGATTCGCCGCGGAAGACGCTGGTTGGGCTGCAGATGACTACGGCGGGTGAGCACCACACCATACCCAGCACTGTGAATCTGTTCAAAAATAATATGGCGGCATATTTTAAGGGCTGGAAGAAATTATCCCGAGACATGTCGTGGGAGATGATTTATGTGCAGCACGAAAACAGCACAATGATAACGAACTGGCAGAGATGTGGTCCCGTCAATACCAAAAATTTGAGCGACGCTGAAAAAGAGATTGTGGCGTTCTGGAACGGAAACGTACACGAATACCAGTTTGCGTTGACAACTGATTTTGTAAATAAAATCCGAGCAAAGTGAATACAGAAATCTTTTAGAAATGGGATAGGCAAGGAAATTAAAAAAAAATAAGTAGAAGCAAAGTGCATTTTGCTTATAGTGAAATATATTGGGAGTATTTTAACGATTTTTATATGTGTGTGCCTACGGGGTCTAGACAGTGAATGCCTTTCTTTTCAGAGAACCGTTGTGATCAGCAGTGCCACACTCACCCCACTCTTTTTTGATTTTATTTTATTTTTCCACCAGAGGCGCATCGTCACTAGAGGCTGTTGCGCACTACAGGGGCCGCGGAATTTCTCTTTATTTTCATGGGATTTTGTGAAAAGAATGCCTGCGAGGATGGCTGGCTGCCCAAATAAATTCATATCTCGCGCAAGCGAAGATATCTCTTTACAACTTTTTTCTCTTCTATCGCACTGTCTTTTGGGAGACCGCGATTGAGGGAGTCAGGGAGCCGACAGCTGCCAGACGAAACTATTCTTTTTTATTTTTTATTTGTATCTTCACAACCACACACTTTGTGATCCCCACCTTGCGGCGTTTTTTTGTGGCTGGAGGAGCCTCAATGGTCTGCCACTTCGTGGGGGATAAGTGTTTTTATTTGTAACCATCTGCAGAGGTCAAGGGCAGTGATTGACGGAATGTGTATACATAGACACATTGGGGCAAACATTACGGAGAACTCTCTACCTCTTTATTTACCGCTTTTTCCTTTTTTTGGGGGGGCAATTACAGGATCCGACCAGCGGCCCAGAAGATTTCCCTTTTGTGAAGTTGTGCAGTTATTTTTAGTGTTGGTAATAGGGCAAACCGACACACAAAATGAACAAAATAAAACAAAATAAAAAAGGAGAATAATGTGGCGGTGTTGTTGCCAATTGCGCGCCTCGTGTTGCTGCGGGGGCGGCGGGCCTTGACTGTTTCACCGACAGGCGTTGCATTGCGGCTGCATGGCGCACCGACCGTCCCGCCGTGCGAGTGCCACGCCCAACGCCGTTGGGACTGCGGGACGAAACAGCCGCGACTGCCCTTTGGAGCCAGCGACATCTGCTGGCCGCAGTTGGGCGGTGCGAGTGGGATGCTTCACCGCACGGGTGTTGTGATGGCACCTCGCAGCGGCATCCCCGGCGATGGTTCAGACGCTGCAGCACGGAGAGGAGTGGAGGGAATGAGGCGACCACAGTGGACCATGAGCAGCAGCGTAAAGGACATCCTGCTGGAGGGAAGCACTCTCAGGACCGACATGAAGCTGAACGATTTCCTTCGGAGGAACTTGGGCGGCAAGGGCGTTGTGAAAAAAAATGAGAACGTCGCTATGGAGGTGTTTGTTCAGGAGCCGGATGCTTACGTAAAAAAACAGCAGCATCTTAGAATTATTTTTAATTTAACAGAGTACCAAGTGCTGGAGGCCATTTATAAGCTTCATCACGAGGGTGTGGACTCTCTCGAGCAATGGAGGGACTATGAAGGAAAGGATACGGTCACTCTACATGCAAGGAGAAATCTAAACAGAGTACTCACTCAGGTACTGAGAGAACAACTTGAGGCAGAAGAAAGGGCAGTGCGGGAAAAACAAGTAGGATTTATCCTAACTACTACGATCAGGGATGTGCTATTGGGAGGAAGGTTTCGCGTGGATAATAAGAAGCTGAACGATTTTCTTATGATGGAATTGGAAGGCAGAGGCGTTGTGGCCACCAATCGGAATGTCTTGTTGAAGGAGTTTTTAAAGGACCCCACGGGGTATATCCGCGATGCGGGAGCATTGGGCGAAATACAGGCAACCGATGCTTATGCGAGGATGGAGGGGACTGTGAGGGAGGAAATGGGTTTGGAAGAAGTTGTACGCAGGCTTAGCGAGAAAGGTGTCAACAATCTACTTCGGTGGTCAGAAGCTGCTGCGGAGGTAAAAGCAACTGTTCATGACATCACTAAAAACTCGTTGAATGCAGCCCTTGAGTGGCCGAGGATCCTAACGAAGACGAGTGCACCGGAGAAACTGGAGGGATTGTACGAGTCTGTGTACAATGCGAGGTGGCACCATGTCGTGGAAGTTTCTGACGGCGAGGGGACGGGAATGGAGATGAGAGAAGGAGAACCACCGCAGTCATGGACGTACAAGGCATTTGGCTGAACCCTCGAAAAGGATGACGGTGTGCAGCAGTCCGGTGCACCACGTCTCAGGCTGATGGTGCTTACCTTGGACAAGGGATGGCCGTACACGTGGGGACAACGGCTGAATGAATTTATTCCTGACTGCTATGTGAACTGTGAGGTGGATCGAGTGTGGCAGACCGTCAGCAGCGATCTAACCGAATGGTTCAGCAGTCACGGTAAGAACAAACTTTCGCCTGATCCGTTTGTGCTGATTGGGACGCCCGGGATCGGGAAGTCGATGGCTGCCGGTTCGTACCTCCTCTACCAGCTGCTACACTACGATGCGGAGCAACTCCCAATGGTTGCGTACGTTATTGGGGATCGAAAATTTCTGTTTGACAAGATCACAGAAACGGTGAAAAAATACGGTGAGGCGTCTAGTATCGTGGATATTTTGGACGAGTTTTCTGGGCGTGGGGTGAAGGGGTATATTATCTACGACGTGTCAATGAAGGGCCATCAACCGTCTACTGGTTTGCCTTGTAAGGGATGGGGCATGATTGTGGTGACGTCACCGAACAAAAACAACTACGAATCGTGGGCGAAGCTGGTGCGAGCGAAAAGAATCATAATTGATTGCCCTGACGAGAGCGATGTGAGGGCAATGTGCGTTTGGATGAAGCACAATCGGCAGCTTGAGGAGGAAGAAGCGGACTACTGGAAGAAGGTGAAGGATCGCATGGATGAAGTGGGACCACTTCTTCGCTACATCTTTGGTGACAGCGAATACAAATCTCGGCTTGTCTCGTGCAAAAGTAAAGTTAAATCAATGGTCTTGCCGGATACCCACTATTACTCTATTTTGGGGACTAATGAAGTGTGCGATGATAGCCACATCTCTCACAAAGTTGTAAAGGTCGTACGAGTACGAGGAGGAAGCAATTTAGAATTGCCTTTAAATGCACTGATGTCTCCTTATCTCGGAAATTTAGTGACATGCAAGTTGGCGGAGTTAATGGTGCCGAATAATTTTATTTTACTCTTATTGGTTATCAGGGACGATCTCTTATCAAAACCCCTTGAAAAGCATTCCGTGTTTACTTTTTTGAGCGAGGGCTTTGTAAATGCAATAATACCGAAACTCAGGGAGCTGAAAATAACAGCAAATGCTCCGCCACATCTCTGTGCGCTGAGAGTGCGTTCACATGAGCGCCCTCTCAAGCCCTTTATTTTAGAGCGCCTGGAAAATTTTGAGGAGAAGATTAATATAGAGTATCGGGTGCTGTACAAACCGGTGGCTCAAAACTTTCCGTTGGTGGACGCCTTTTTCTTTTTGAAGCCACCACAGAAGACGCTGGTTGGGATGCAGATTACTACGGCGGGTGAGCATCACACCATACCCAGCACTGTGAGGCAGTTCACTGAGTATCTGACGAAATATTTTAATGATTGGGAGGAATTATCCCGAGACATGTTGTGGGAGATTGTTTATGTGCAGCACAACGACAACAAGCCGCTGGATGGCTGGCAGAGATGTGGTCCCGTCGAAAGCAATAAATTGAGACCCGCTGAAAAAGAGATCGTGGCGTTCTGGAACGCAAAGGTGCACCAGTACCAAGTTTCTGTATCATCCAGAGACTTTAAAGAAAAAGAAAAAGCTTCCCCAATTGTGGAAGAACAACAAAAACAAAAAAAGAAGCAGATTAGGAGATGAAAGGTGAAAGAGAAATTTTGATTTGTGGTAAATTTTTCTTTCTTGGTATATATATATATACAGAGACTTGTGTGTGCATACGTTGCGGTGTACCAGCATCAGGGGGCTGCACGGCACAAAAGTGTTAAGAATTTTCAACGCGAGTGATAATAGCAGTGACAGAAGAAATTAAGTGGGGAAAGGGAAATTTATATTTTTGGTGAAAAAAATATTTTGAGTTGTTTAATACATGTGAATATTTGTTTTTTTATACGGCACCGGTGCACCATCCCCTTTAGGAGTAAGACGTGGAGATGCCAAGAGAATTGC